GAAGATCATCAGTACCTATTTCCAAACTCTTTACTCTCATGGAATGAAAACCATGGAAGAAATGCTAAGATTTCTCGAAATATATGAACTATCAAAGCTGAATCAAGATATAAAAATTGTGAATAACCCAATATTAGCAAATGAAATTGAGAAGTACAACCAAAAACCTACCAACAAAGAAAAGCCCAGGTCCTGTTGGATTCACAGCTGAATCCTATAAGAAATTTAGAGAAGATTTAATGCCAACTCTTCTCAAACTCTTCAATGAAACTGAAAGGGAAGCAATACTCCCAAACTCATTCCTAAAGGCAAGTATTACTCTGCTATTTTGGTATCAGAAAGACATCACCAAAAAAGAGAACTACAGACCAGTCTCCCTAATGAATATATATACGCATAAAAATCCTCAATAAAATACTAGCAAACAATGCAACAAATTATCAAGATTATACATCACAACCAAATGGGATTCATCCCTGGAATGGAGGAATAGTTCAATATCCACAAATCCATAAATGTAATATACCACATCAACACAGCCAAAGACAAAAATCACATGATCATCTCAGTAGATATAAAAAAAGCTTTTGACAAAGTCCAAACACTGATTCATGATTCATGATAAAAACCCTATAGAAAGTTGGAATAGTCTTTACCTTAACCTGATAAAATCCATCTATGACAAGCCAACAGCCAACACCATACTAAATGAACAAAAATTTAAGGCTTTCACTGAAAATCAAGATACGAACAAGACAAAGATGCCCACTGTCACCACTCAATGTAATTCTGGAAACATTAGCCAGATCAATTAGACAAGAGAGAAATAAAAGGAATAGTAATTGGAAAGGAGGAAGTAAAAGTATTATTATTAGCAGATGACATGATACTCTACACAGAAAACCCCAAAACTCCACCAAGAGACTCACAGATTTAAAAACCAAATTCAGTAGTGTAGCAGTATACAAATTCAAAAATCAATAGCATTTCTACACACAAACAACAAACGCATTGAGAAATTAGGGAAACCATGCCTTTTTGACAATAACACCTCCCAAAAAAAGAAATACTTAGGAATCAATCTCACAAAGGAAGTAAAAGATTTATACAGTGAAAATTCTAGTACTCTTAAAAAAAGATTAAAGAGGATTTTAATGGAAAAATATTCCTTGCTTCGGGATAGAATGAACCAACATTATGAAAATGGCCATACTACCAAATTGTTATATAGATTCAATGGAATCCCAATTAAAATACCATTAGCATACCTCATAGAGCTAGAAAAAAAATTTCTAAAATCCATGTTGAACCAGAAGAGACCCAGAATAGCAAAAGCAATCATAGGTAACAAGGGAAAGGCAGGAGGCATCACAATCTCTGACTAGATATACTACAAAGCTACTGTGATAAAATCAGCATGGTGGGGGGCCTGGCCTTAGCTCAGTTGTTTAAGTGGCTGCTTCCACAAAGCTGTCAGTCTCAGGTTGCTGTAGTTCGATCCCCACAACACTCCAGCCAGCCAAACCACCCCTCAGGGCATTCAGATAAAAAAAAAAAAAAAAAAAATCAGCATGGTACTACCAAAAAACAGACCTGAGAATCAATGGAACAGATTAGAAGATGCAGACATAACTACAAACACATTCAGCCACCTTTTCTTTGATAAAGGGGCCAAAGATGTTCACTGGAAGAAAGATGGCCTCTTTAATAAATGGTGTTTAAAACTTGGCTTTCTACACTCCGAAAGCTAAAATCAGACCCATGCCTATCACCATGCACTAAACTACAGTCAAAATGGATCAAAGATTTTAAATATTAAAACACTAAATCTTTGGGAGGAGAAAGTAGGTAGAAATCTTAAAAGACATAGGGATAGGTAGAGTTCATGAACAAAAACCAAATTGTACACGAAATACTTCAAAGAATCAACAACTGGGATCTCTTGCTTTTGAAAAGTTTCTGCATGTCAAAGAAATCACCAACAGAGTAAAAAAGAAAACCTGTGAATTGGGACAAAAGCATAGCCAACTATCTCTCTGACAAAGGACTATCTAGAACATATTTTTTAAAAAATCAGACCTCAAAAAGTCAAAGACCAACCCAAAAATGGGCATCTGAGATGAATATATACTTCACAAATACAAATGGAAAATAAATATATGAAAAAATGTTCAACATCATTGGTCATTCAAGAGATGTAAATTAAAACATCATTAAGATTCCATCCTACACCAAAAAGAATGGCTAACATTAAGAAGTCAAACAATAACAAATGCTGGAGAAACTGTGGGGGGGGAAAGAACCCTTTTCTACTGTTGGGAATGCACGCTGGTACAACCATTATGGAAATCAAGTGTGGAGATTCCTCAAAAAGCTAGGGTTGGAGGTCCCATTCAAGCCAGCTATTCCCCTCCTGGGTATTTTTCCAGAAGAACTGAAAACAGCATAACACAGTAATATGTGTGCATCCATGTTTACAGCAGCATAATTTGTCACAGTTAAATCTTGGAAACAACCCCAATGCCTACAGACTGAGGAATGGAAAAAAAAGATGTGGTAGTTTTATACAATGGAGTATTATTCAGCTATAAAAAAAGATAAATTTGAGGCTTTTATAGGTAAATGGATGCAACTACAGACCATACTCATAGGTGGAATAAATCAGACCTGCATGTGCAAACATCGCATTGTCTCACTAGTGTGAGAACCGGAAAAAGTAAATAAAATCTGAAAGGTACAATACATACTGTAAAAGGGAATGAATCTACTCAATGGGAAGGAATAGCTGGCATCAGTAAAAGGACAAAAGGAAAAAATATATTTATCTATATACGCAATATACTTTGAATAATTGTACTGTCAATTTCTGCTGGTTTACTGAAAGGAGCAGTTAACCCTTAAATTTTTATTTCATTTTTTTAAAAATATGTAATTTACAGGGTCTCACTACACAGCTCTGACTCGTAGTGAATCTGTTTTCTGCTTCCCCAGCACTGGGATTACAGGCATGCACTACTACTCCCCGAGTCAGTCCCCGGCTCACCACACCTAGCTGCTGGGCCGGCACAGCACGTGGTACCAGGGATCACACCGCAGTCATTCCACTTGTCTAAGCAGGCGCTTAGTCCACTGAGCTATCTCACTGGCCCTCTTTTAAATTTTTTATAATTTTTTTTTTTTTTTTGCAAATTTTGCAAGTGTTTATCTGGTAACAAATAATCTGAAGGTAACATTACTCAATACAACCACTGTCAAATTCTTGTATGTTCAATGAAATTTTGTATGTTTTGTATCATTTTGTATTCTTTTAAAAATAAATCAATAGCCATCCCACACAGAAATAATGAGACAGACAGACAGAATATTCTACTAAAAAGGCTTTCCTGGTACTATACTCAACAAACAACTACCAAGACCCAGTTATTGTCTTCTGCATTAATCCTTTTACTTTATACACAATCCTCCTACTCCTGCATGACAGTGTCTTTCTAACTCTATAAGAATATTTCCTCTACTAGATGGTAAGCTACTTCAAAGTGGAAAATGCAGGGCCGGGGAGATGGCTCAGTGGAATAAGCCCTTCCCTGGCAAGTGCAAGGGCCTGAGTTCAATCCCCGGTTACCCAAAAAAAAAGGAATATGAATTCATATCGAGAGTTCAAAACTTGGTTAAAGTGTATTTTAATTAAGATACAAAGATGCATAAAGGGAGATTGCTCAGTGGAACACGCACTTCCCTAGCAAGGGCCAGAGTTCAATCCCCGATTCCGAAAAAAAACAAAAAACAAAAAAAAAAATCCAACAAAATCTATTTTAGATAAGTTTTAACAGAAGTATATAAATCATCACAAAAAAGGCAAGTGAAGCAGTAAAAGACAACAGGAAAAATCATTTACAACTTTATTTCAGTGACTTTTAACCCATTTTGGTCTATAAATGTGTGTATTTCTTGTAGAGGTGTTCGTTACATTCATCCATTCATTCATTCATTTATTGGATACAGGGTCTCCTTACACAGCTCCAACTCATGGCGGCAAGCGCCAGTTTCAGGGCCAGCAGGGCATGCAGTACCAGGGATCAAACTCCAGTCTTTGTGCTTGGCACTTAGACTGCTGAGCTATCTCCCCAGCCCCGATGTTCAACTTTAAATGTATTTATTCTGCATTTACTATATGCAAAATACAACTAGTAACACTCAAAAAAAAAAAATACATTTCCTCTAACACACAAGGGATTAAGCCAACTATACAAATGATTTTCATACAAGGTACAGTGTAAGTTCCATTACAGAAATATCAAAAAGTGAGAAAGTCCTTACGTTTATCCTTAGAAATATGAACTTTTCTCTGAATAAAACATCCAGGACATATTAAATGGATTAATCCAATTGAATTCACTTTTCTCTTCAAAACTCTCAATAGATCTAACTGGGTTTGACACAAATGGAAATCCCAACCTGAACAAATATTCTAAACTCTCCCCTATGTCTCCTTGTGGATGACCGCCTAGTGTTTATAAAAAAGAAAAAGAAAAGAAAAGAAAAAAAAAAAAAAAACCGCCACAGGGAACACCTGTACAGCAGAACCTAACGGAGGAGCTTCCAACTCAAAGCCCCTCTTTCGAAAAGTGTCTGCCATCCGTTCTGTCTCACACTTCCACGGAGCTCCAATACTTCGCCCTTCCGTCCCGAACTGCGGCAGCTGCCCACGCGGGACACCGGGCGCGGGGTCCTGGAACTTTAGGGAAGCCGGGGTCTCGAGAGGGACAGCGCTGATATGGGGAGCCACCACAGACTAAATGTCGGACGCCGGAAGTGGAGGGGAGTCGCCAGGACCACGTTTAAAGCAGCACCCCGCAGCCCCGGGGCCGTCGGAGGGGAGTGGTCACTTCGAGACCGATAAACTTTCTGCACAGCGACGGGTAGAGTCCCCCACAGTGACCCAGGCACGGTAAAGGACTGTCCTCCCAGCCCCACGGCCTGGCAAGACCCCGACTCCTTACCGTCCTGCAGAAGCGCCCGCACTGTCGCTGCGGCCCCTCCAGAACCCGGAGCCCCCAGGCCCGCCACGGCGACGCCGCCGTCACCACCTTCCATGTTGGCAGGTGCCGAGCTGATGGCGTCAGCGGAGGCCCCGCCCAGGTCATGACGCAGAATCGCAGCGCCCGCCGATGGGCGAGTACGCCAGCCCCGCTAGCCCCAGGGAACTCGCCCTGCGCCAGCGCCTGGCCTCGGGGGTGTCGGAGACCGCAGGCCCTGCGGACGGGGTGCTAGGACCCTAACTCGCGAGGAGGACCAAGCCACCAAACCGTGCCCCGGCGCCGGGGAGGAGGAGGTGGGCGCCAGGTCAGGCCGGGCGCGTAGCTCAGAAGCAAGGCTCCGTAGGCGCGGGGCACGCGGGAGATCAGAGGTGTCTGGGCGCTTGCTTGCTTCACAGCTTTATCTATCGCCCGCTTGATTGGCAATAGGTAGTAAACGCTGGCGGAGAGGCTTAGGAGGAAAAGTTGCTAAAGGCCAAAGTACTAAATAAACTCACACGCATTGAATATTGGTAACAACTGGAGGGCAAGGGCTCTCCTGGGGGTTTTCAGCCATGATGTGAACAGGATCCAGCTGAGAGGAGGACCCATGAATTGCCAATGATAACAGGGAATGAAACTCCCAACCTGAAAGATGCCTGGGATGGGTTCGCATTCTTTAAAACCGAAAAATGAATTTTAGCAACAATGAAAGTTAAGAACAGAATGTATTCAGGAAAAGAAAGCGTCTGTCTGAGAGAGGGACAGAAGGAGACCCCAGTGGGTTGCCCAGGATCCTGCCTTTCTAGGGCTTTTATAGAGCACATCCACGAGGTGAGGCGGGCCCAAGGTGGGAAGCGTAGAAACTCGCTAGGTAGACGTGAGGTGAGACAAAACTGCAAAACCAGTAAGATTGCAAGTATAATCGCAGGTAAAATTGATTAAATCTGTATCAAATGGGGAAACAGTCAGGTAGCAAGCCGGCCTGGGTATGAAAGTGGGGCTCTTCCTTTTAGGCATTAGGTTAGTGACTCTTCCTGGCTTGCTTTTTGCTTTTTTTTTTTGGCGGAACTGGGGATTGAACTCAGGCCTTTGCTCTTGCCAGGGGAGCGCTTAGTCTACTGAGCCATCTCCCAGGCCCTTCCTAGCTTTCCCAAGGTAGTAGATACCTATAATATCAGTCCCTAATGTTTATCTTTAGGGAGGTATGTATTTGATCTTTTGTCTTGAGGTCTGGACCACAGTTGCAATGTATCTTGTCTTCTTCACTGGCACCTTTTGAGGGCCTAGCTCTGTCTATAATTTTTCTAACTCAGCTACCTACATCAAGGGTTGTGTACTCTATGACTCACACTTTTCATTATCCAAAATATGCAAAACTAATTTTGTTTGTGATTATTATTAGTGGTGAATACCATAGTCTATGAATTATGGCATGTGGTGGTTTTGTTTTTTTGTTTTTTTTTTTTTTTTCTTCCTTAGCTTTTCTTTTTTACCCTGGAAGATTTTAGAAGAGCACATAATATTCATACAATTAAAAGTTTTGACCCTCTACTATACATACCAGCATGAATTTTTCAAACACAGGACATTTCAACAAATCTTTATGCCCGGTACAATGGAGTATTTGTACTTAGTTCAGGATTTTCAAGTTTGACTGCATACTCAAATCAGATGGAAAACATTTAATACTGATTCCTGCATCTGAATAAGGTCAGAGAATCAAATGTAATTTACCTGGGCTATGACTTGGTCATCTTGATTTTGGGTTTTTTTATTCTTTCTGTGTTTAGGACAGGGTCTACAGGGTTTCACTACACACTTCGGACTCATATCGATTCTCTTGCTCTTCGCCTCCCAAGAGCTGGGATTACAGGCACCCGCCAGCACACCCAGTCTCAGTCGCCCCTCAGCGCACACCACGGGAAGGCCCAGCACAACACGCCAGGGCTGGAACCCTGGCTGCAGCGCTCTGCCTAAGCAGGCACTTCAGTCCATTGAGCTATCAGGCCTGCCCAGCATCTTGAGTCTTAAAAGCTCCCTGATAACTAATGTACAATGAAGATTGAAAGCTACTCAATTATTCAGTACATATATATGGAGAGAAACCTTCCTGCTTTTACTGTAATTGCAAGAGTAAAAGTGAAGTCACTAAAGTGAACTTGCCACTGAACACTTTTTAGTCTTTAGTTTTCTGTGATATTCAAGACATTCCCTCTTATGTAGTACTCTGACCTCTTAGTTTTTGAATATTACTCTTCAGGGTTATTTCTCTCAGCTCCAAAAGTCACTTTTCCCAATATCCTTTGCAGTCTTTTTTTTTTCTGTTACTTAAGTGTTAGTACTTGTGAGGATTTTTTTTTTTTTACAAGTTTTGGCATCTTTACGTGCCTTGATCATGTTTTAGTTTTCATTTGTTACCTATGGTTAAAGACTTCCAATTTTGAGTAATTAAACTGTGTAAAATTAGTTATAAGTTACTAAGACCAAAGATTAGAATATGAAAAGCAGAAGTTGGAATATCACAAGCAGCAAATACTGAAATGATCAAATTATTTTTCTGAAATGACATTTTAAGTGAAGTATAGAAAATATACTTAGAAGCTACATAATTTCACATATTTCATGGGACAAAAGTGGTTTACTGTTCAATTATGATTGTAATTGAAATTTTCATGGTAATACTATTTAGGAACTACATAATTTCATCACTTATAATTCATGGAACAAAAGTGATTTAATGTTCAATTATGGTTGTAATTGAAATTTTCATGGCAATACTATGTTTAATTTTTTTAAAATATTCATTTGCCTTGTGATTCACAAAGAGTTATAATAAAAATATCAAAATACTCTACTAGAGTTGTTCTATTAATGCCATTTAACTTTCCTGAATAAACCAAGATATTCTAAAGTCCCAGTCATTCCCACTATTGGATAGAAAATAATTCAAATCACATTTATTGGTTTGTCAATGCCAAACAAAATGGAAAAAGCTTAAAATACAAAAAATCATAACATGACACACTAGCAAAAAAAGTTTACATTTTTTTCCACAACTCTCTTGTGTTGTTTTTCACAAATGAAGGCAGAATTTTATTGTATCCTATTTGTAATAGGAAAAGAAGCTGAAACAACTTCCAGGCTCACAACGCTGATTAAAAATAAATATTATTGGCATTTGAAATTGATAAGAATGTTGAGAATTTGTGTAATGAAATAAAAGTACCTTTTTCCATGCAAACTGATTATCTTTCAGATTTGAAACATCTGTATTCATGAAGAGTGACTCCATACAAACCACAATATGTCAAGAAAGAAAAAAAGATCCAATAGAAATGTTCCATTCTGGACAACTGGTAAAAATCTGTGCCCCAATGGTTCGATATTCAAAGTAAGTGTAATTAAGTGAACGAACAGTGTGTCATGTCCCTTTCATGCTCTGACTTTTTATATTATCATAGGGGAGTCTCACCACTTGGGTTTTAAAAAATTTTTTTATTTTAATTTGAAGAGTGAAAACAAAAGCAAAAACAAGTAGAAAAACATGACAGAAACAGGGTAACATACAACAATACATATGTTACATCTTTTCAAAACAGGGATAGCTATTTAATAATGGTTGTATTATCTATTTCTTTTTTCATTTTAATGAGAAAAAAGATAAAATAACAATGAAACAGTTTCAAGACAGGTTTGTATGACAGTTGCAATAATTAATACATTGCATATCATTGTCTTCTTAGTAGTTATTCTAAGGATAAGGTGGAGACATGATATCTTGTCTAAACATTATTAGTACAAACCTTTCCTCTCAATGAACTAAGAGACAGTAGCTATATATCTATCCTAACTATGATGTGTGTGTGTATATATATATATATATATATATATTCACAGACCAAAAAAGTCCTTTATTTATATCTCCCTTTTTTGTTTTGTCAGAGATGGGTGTTCCATTGTTGTTAGAGAAGATATATTTGGAGAAATCTTTAAAGGACTTTTTCATATTTGATGCTGGATCAAAGATTGTAGGTACTTGAATTCAGCAAAATAATCCAATATAGCCCAATAGTCCATAATAGTACTGGTTTATCAGCACAATTGGTAATTGTCTGAAGTTGTTCACTTGAGTCTTTTACAGCTTAACATATTAATGTAGCTTTACTTTTATGCCTTGTGGTTACGGTTTTCTGCTGAATGGTTAAGACCAAGTTAAAGCAAGACCTACATAATTCAAAATGTAACTTTTGCTATCTGACAAGGTCAGTCAAATCCCCTCAGGATTTACCCTGGAACCATGTACAGCACCTTGTGGATCTTTTATCAGTGTCAGCCATCGATCTCACCACTTTGAACCTTACCAAATTGATACCACTTTTACATAAAGATAAGAATATATAAGTCATATTTAATTAAGTATAGTTCATCATGAAAAAACCACAGTTGTAAAATCCATCTTACAGTCAAGCTTGAATATGCTGATACTAAGATGTATAAATGAGGGGCTGGTGAGATGGCTCAGTGGTCTAAAGCATCTACTTAGAACAAGTTTAGCAAAGCACAGGGACCGCGGTTCAATCCCCCAGCACTACATGCCAGCCAGCCCCGCCCCCTGGTGGGCTGAGCTGGCCACACACACACACACACACACTCTAAATAAATAAATAAACTTTAAAAAAAAAAATAAGATGTATAAATGTTTTGTAATCATTTATTTATTTGGTAGAGGGTCTTGCTATGCACCTCGGACTTGTAGTAATCCTCCTGTCTTAGCCTCCCCAGTACTGGGACAATAGGCATGCACCACCACACCTGGTTTCTGTTGCTGGCATGGTGGCAAGGCATGTGGTACAGGGATAGAACCCAGGTCCTATGCTTGCCAAACAAGTGCTTAAACCACTGAACTATCTCACCAGCCCAGATGTACAAACTTGATGACCCAAGTTTTCCTCAACTAAAATGTAATGTCTTGTGGAAGTGATATCCCTGATGAGTTCCCTACAAACATTCCCAGGACCAAAGGGACCTCCAAATTAGGCATGTTTCCTTTGTTGACTGTCTGCTATGCTGAATGGTGTAGCAATAATGAATATAGCTCTCCTCTTTATAGCTAGTATTGAATCTTACCTTCAGCCTCAGGCTTTTAGATATGTCCCTGGCTGCAATAGAAATCATAAAACAAGCACTTAGGGAACGGAATTGATTTGGTAAAAGAAAGTCAAGCTAATGAACACTGTGAACAGATTTTTACATTTGTAGCAGAGGCAGTTCCTGTTCCAATTTCTACCAACCAGAAATACAATATTCAAGTTATCTATGAGGATATAGTAAAGATACTACCAGTACTACTTCCTAGAGACTTTACTTCAGAACCTTGACTTACTAGATCATTTGAAATCAACTGGTTGTGAAGTTGATGACCTTAAGGTTATAGCTGATGTAAGTCTGGCTTGGTGTTGTTTCCAAAGATAGTGAAGAGAAACTCATGTGTAAACCAGTTTTTTACTAAATCGTACCACTTTTTATAGAATATAATGATCTGCAGTATGCAGAAATCAACCCCACTTTGTGCCATTCACATAAGAGGGGTGGGGCAGGTACTTGGTGCATTTTGAAACTTTACCTGAACTATGGAATTGGAAATTTCCCTGCTTCCTACTTACATGGTTTCTAGGTTAACGCGCTGAAGGAAACAAGAAAGCAGCAGTGGTACAAAAGCTGTTAAAAAATGCAGAGCTTATGGTCAACAAGGATCTTTGTCAACAGGAGGGAGAGTTAGTGCTGTTATGATTGATTTCACCAACACTGTTTTGACTGATCTTTGTACAGAGTAGGAAAAAACATTGTCCTTAGCCAGAGTTGAGAAACATTCAATTGTTTGGAATCAGATGAACAAGAATGACAGTCAAACCTTAGATGATGATTACAGAATCCCAGTTAAATAATACATTTGGATGGAGTTGAAATTTCTTTTAACAGCCTAAGAGTATATTTTCAAAGCAATACTAGGAAATTAATTTCACAGCTCATTACTTTAGTAGGTAGCGCTAAGGTTAGTACTATTATTAGGTCAATAATAGATTTTTTTAAATAAAGTACTATAAAATCGCTGATCATATGCAGTCTTCAAACTCCTAGGTTTGGAATTATGACCTGGAATTCAGTCCTAGTATTGCCACTTGCCTGGTATATTTGTCTGGTCTCAGTAAACACTTCCTCCAATGGCAGGATTTATAGCTGCTCCCATACAGAAAGACAGTGAAATATACAGGTTTTTATGTAAATATATATCTCAGATAAACACATACGCATGCAATTGCTAGGTCACTAAGTAGTTGAATATTGATTTTTATAAACTGTCAGACTGCTAGAGTGGCAATACCAATTTATACTTCCACCTAATAACATGTAAGGGATCTAGTTTCTCTTCATCACCAGCTTTTGATGCTGGTACTGTTTGTGTTTTAACCATTTTTTAATAGGTCTGAAGTTTTAAAACCATTCATTGTTTTAATTTGTGTTTCTTATATGCCTAATGATGAGTATCTTTACATATGCTTATTATCTGTGTATATTTCTTCCCTTGTTTTGCCAACTTCTAAATATTGTTTTTATTAAAATTTTTACTTTTCTAGAAAATATACATGGCATAATATTCTTAATCATTTTAAGTGTACAGTTCAGTAGTGTTATTACATTCAGTGTAATATATATGATCTCTAAAATTCTGTTGCTAGTGGATTAGCAAGACTTCTGTTGGGCTGATTTTGTCTGCACCCACTGATGACTCTAGAGTCCAACTTCTTCAACCCCCAACTGTAGCATATTGGAAGGAGGAAAAAAACAGATATGACCACCTTTAATTTCGAAGGTTGCAGCATCACTATCCTGCACCCTTCATATTTTTAGGTATGATAGTTTTTTGCTTATACTAAGCAAGAATAACAAAAAGTGTATCTACTCCATCTTCCCATAAGCTGAACTCTAATAAATGTTTAATAATTAACTAAACTTATAAATACATATGATTATGGTAACATCTATGCATAAGTAAAGTTTTATATGTTCATAGGTTGGCTTTTAGAACACTTGTGAGAAGATACTGTTGTGATCTGTGTTATACGCCGATGATAGTTGCTACTGATTTTGTCAGATCTACAAAAGCCAGAGACAGTGAATTTACCACTAACCAAGGTATGTGAAGCCCATAGTTTGCTGACTTGGTAAAACTTAAAAACAAACACTTTTTTTAATGAACTCAACCATTCTATCTAATCAGAGACAATAATTCAAAGATTTTATAATCGTTTGTTTCTTACACATGGTATGTAAATATCATACTGGGTACTTTATAAGCTCATTATAAACAGTAAGCTATATAAGCATAAGGTTAGCCTTTCAAATTACAAATGAAAAAATGACAAGATTATAAATAGAAAATTGTGCAAAAAATATGAAAGAACTCACAAATACAATAAAAATATCTACATTTCATAGGATAAGTTGTGAGGATACAAGTATTTTCATTCATATTGATCTGTATTGGTTAAAAAATGTCTGTCCAGGTGTTCACTTCTAGGAAGATACCATATAACTGTATTCACAAAAGCATGTATGCCAGAGTATCCTTACTAAAGAAGCATTACTTGCAAGACTACAAATGAAAAGCAGTGTATAAATAGTGGATAGCCCCTCCATACTGTGGAGTTTGCCACTGAAAAAACGTGATGCAACTCCCAGGCCCATCAAGGAAAGAAAAACAGTAAGCATAACAGTTTATATAAAATTACTGCATTCATTTACATTGAACAAGTATGCATCAAATCACCCTGGAGTACAATAAATTAATTCCCACCTTCCGCTAGAGGGTCTGTTTGTTAAAGAGACTGAGAACATTTTAGGTTTTATCAAATTCTGTACTGTTTGATTTTTTACTTAGTGTAAATACTTTTAATATTTTTAATACTTTAATGTTATCTTAATTGAACAAATGCTACTTACGCCAAAAGTATATATTGGTACTTTGTTGTATATAAACATTAGAGCTTGGTATCTCTGTAAGGGGGTATATATTTGTGTGTTTTTTGTGTAGATTTTAATGTTCAGTTATTGGTTTTATCAGGTGATTGCCCACTGATTGTTCAGTTTGCTGCTACTGATGCAAGACTTTTATCTGATGCTGCTCAAATAGTGTGCCCTTATGCAGATGGAATAGACATTAACTGTGGTTGCCCTCAGAGGTAAAGCTCAAAGAAGTTGGAAGAATTTTCAAAAAGATTAAGAAAAAACTATGTGAACATGGTAAAATATCTTTCTGGTTTTCCAAAAATTAAAAAGTAAAGACATAGAGTTAAAGCACCAGGGTTCTAAACTGGAAAGAAGGGGAAAGTATAATGAAAGATTGTTTTGTAATGTAATTTCATGTCAGGTATGGTAGCCCATGCCTGGAATCCCAGCACTCAAAGACTGAGGCAAGAAGATGGCAAGTTCAAGACTAAAAGTGAGATCTTCCCTCAAAAAAAAAGGAATAACTTCAGAGGTCTTTTCTGATGGATGATGTGGTATACAGACCCTTAACAAGTATTGTACCCCTTCAACACTAGCATTTTTTGTGTGGATCTTCTTGCAACCTCACCCATAAAAAATTATGTAATAATCTAATGATTCTAATCTAATGTATGACCATCCCTACAATGTATTTATTGTTGCTGTAGAAACTGATACTGTGATTTAGGAAATGCCATGTGTTTTCTCCTAATTAATGTACCTTACAAGAAAACCTTATTACAATCATCTTTGTTTTCTGTCCCGTAATTTTGGTATTTGTTTGAGTTTAGAAGGATGGACATAATGGAACAATAATATCTGTACTATACTATGTTATCTTTCAATTCAAACTTATGTCCAAAGAATGAAATCAAGGTTCTAAGTACAGCATAATCCACATCAGATTACACATATTTGAGTACTCATTAGGAGAGTTAAATAAGCTGTTTAGTAGTATTGGAATGCTGTAAGCCAAAAATATCACTCTATCAAGACTAATAAAACTTCTTGTTACACACAATAAACATCAAATTTGGAATTTTAAAAATCTGAAATAATTGCAGTTAATTACAAATACTTAAATCTGTTTCAGTTGAGTGAATTCTAATTTAATATTCTCACTTGCCAGTGGAAACTATTCCCTGTATTTTTTTTATCTGGGAACATGATGGTGCACTTAGAAATGTTGACCTATTAATTTTAAAAATCTGCTTCATTTCAGATCACTAGGTAGAGAAATACAAAGGTACAACTATACTTCAGTGTTTTTAGAATTTTTTCTTTGTCTGCTATTTATAATTCATCTGTTGTGTCTGCTTTATACAGGTGGGCAATGGCAGAAGGTTATGGAGCTTGCTTAATAAATAAGCCAGAGCTTGTTCAAGATATGGTGAAACAAGTAAGAAATCAAGTGGAAAACCCCAGATTTTCAGTTTCTATTAAAATAAGGTAAAGATAACATGTAATCTATTCATCTATAATCTATTAATAAGATTTAAACTATGAATTTAATGAATCTGTAATTCATTTCTTAGGAAATAGAAGTGTTTCTCTTTTGTGTAATGATGTGGATGTGTCTGTTCTAAACAAACAGCTGATATATGAACTGTTGAGACAAAATATTGAGTAAACAAATATATGGCCTAATTTTTATTTAAAATCCTGAATAACTTCCCATTTTTTTAACAAAATTAAATTATCCCTTTATTAAAAGATCTCACTGAATTCTCAGTTTTTTAATTACATTCCCAGTACCAACAGTAGAAAAAAGGAATGACAGTAGGTACAGGCGAAGGACAGCCAGGGGCACCTGTAATCCCAGCAGTCTGGGAGGCTAAAGTAGAAAAATTAAGCCCAGTCTAGGTTAGGTAGTAAGACCCTATCTTAGTAAAAATTACAAAAGGGCTGTGCATATAGCTCATTGTGAAGGCCTTGGGTTGATGGAAAGATGCAAAGAAAGAAAAGAAATAATAAGAAATATACAGTGGCACTACAATTTAACAAAAAGGAATCTGTGTTATAGTGACAGGTTGAAGAGATGACATATGTTCTTAGGGGTTGGGACATGCACATCAGTAATTAAGATAGCATCTGCCAGTTCATCTGTGACAGTAATTTCATGATTGTTTCATTTATCAGTCCAAAGGGAGACACACTAGGTAACATAAAACTTACTTGTCTGGCTATTGTTGCCAAGAGTGATAACTTTGAATTCGTCCGTGGAAAATGATCTCTAAACAAAACCTTACTGATAGTGGCATGAAATAATAGTATGATATAGCAAAGCTAGCTGAGTAATATAAAGGATGGAATACCATTTTAGTTATTTAAAATTTTGGCATTAAGATGTGTATACTATGAACAAATACATGTAATTTTGAAATAACAGGATCCATGATGACCTTACACGAACTGTAGACTTTTGTCGAAAGGCTGAAGCAACAGGCGTTAACTGGATTACAGTCCATGGAAGAACTGTTGAAGAAAGACATCAGCCAGTCCACTATGATGCCATTAAAATAATAAAGGAAAACATGTCTATACCTGTGATTGCTAATGGAGACATCAGAAGCTTAAAAGAGGCAGAAAATGTGTGGCAGATTACTGGGACAGATGGTAAGCAATAAGTACTTGGATTTTTTATATTTTAATTAGAAAAATTAAAGTAGGGGAATAATGTTAATTTGATTTTCATTATTTTTCTTTAATGCTAAGCCATATTTTACCAGCAGAATGATTAAATGTAAGGTATTTATTAAAATACTATTAACTCTTCTACTGGAAATCAATGGATTATTAGCTGGGGTAAATCAACTCCATTTTTCTAGTACCATCATATCTGTGCCCAGTTAGGAATCTTCCAGATAGCCTATTAATGAAATAAAACACCTGCTATAGAAACAAGTTAATAAAAAGTTGGTTAACTAAAGGTACCTCAGAACTGCTACATAATTTTGTTTTCTGAAATTGCATGTCAGCTAAGCTAGATGGTAACTATGGCTAGATGGAGAATGCATATAAACAGTGTAAGCATCCCAATTTATGATAATCTGGATTTACCTTAAAGAAAAACTGAAGACTAATTGTTTAATGTGGAAGTTCTTTAAAAATTAAAAAAATGAGGGGCTGGGGAGATGGCTCAGTGGAATAAGTGCTTCCCTGGCAAGCGCAAAGGCCTGAATTCAATCCCCAGTTCCGCAAAAAAAAAAAAAAAAAAAATGTGTAAGTACATTTAAACTTTCTTGATCAACAAAAGGCACCAAAATAAATCATTTTATTGATTTAAATATCAGTAATGTAATAAGAACATTGTAAAACTTTGTAATATAAGTAATATTAATTTAATATTTGTTTCATTGATTTTGAGCTAATCACCATGGATTCTTAATGTATGGATGTATGTACTGTGCTTTAATTTATAGGTGTGATGGTTGCAAGAGGACTTTTGGCAAACCCAGCTATGTTTGCTGGATATGAGGAAACCCCATTGAAATGTATCTGGGACTGGGTTGACATCGCTCTCGAACTTGGAACACCTTTTATGTGTTTCCATCAACATTTAATGTATATGATGGAAAAAATAACTTCAAAGCAGGAAAAAAGAATATTTAATGCTCTGTCAAGCACATCAGCAGTTTTAGATTACCTTACAGACCATTACGGCATTTGACTGGACTTTCCAAGTTGTTTTAATATATACTTTGTACCTACAATGAAATCATATGAGATCACATCTTAGTTTTTACTTTAAATCAGTGGTCTCAAGGTTTAATATAAAAATAAACCCCGGGAGCATGGGGGTGGGATACCAGGAATCAAACGCAGGATCTGAGTTTGTCAGGCAAGTACTGTGCCACTGAGCTATATATCCCCAGTCCCCTCTGAGCATTATTTGAAAGTAAGACCTGGAGTGTATCTTCAGACTCTGCTTCAGTGAATCAGGTGGACTCAGAAACTTAGAATATTAAAGAAGCATCCAGGAGCTTAGGGGGCAGCTCAGTGATAGAACTTGGCTGGCATGAAGGTGGTCCTGGATTCTATCCTCATCACCACCAAAAAAATAAACTTTTCTCAAAAACCCAAGTGGCTCAAACATCCTGGTCATCATACCTAAACATCAAACTCTACTCGGGATCTTGTCATGTATTAGGGGGTGGAGGCAGTGGGGTTATTTTTTTCCTTTACTAAAGGAAGTCATGTTTTTAACACTTTTAAATAAAATTTATTTTAATACTAAGTATGACTCACTGTGTTAACAAGAAGTATGTTTTTAATAAAAATGAAGGGAAGTGGTGGGACAAATGCCAATATCCACATAAAATGAAAATACATTCAGAATAGAATTGTACTCAAAGTTTACATCAAAAATTGAAATTGGAAAATCAGACTTACAAGTACTGATTTAACTAGGTGTGAGATATATATATATATATATAATATATATATATAATATATATTATATATATAGTTAAAAACTCAGATTGCATGAAACTAGCATTAAACAATCTATTTTAATCTTTTTAGATATTTAGATTTCAGAGTTTGATAAACATACCTGTACCTAAAAGGATAAAGGTCATTGAGACCCCATGTTCTGTTTTGTTTTGTTTGAGACAGGGTCTTGCTTCACAGTCCAGGTGCCTCAAACTTATGTGGAACCACCTGCCTCAGCCTCCTAAGTGCTGGGATTACAGGCATGAGCCACCACTGTTTTTAAATGGGATGTCATTTTTTTAAATTAGTGTTTTCAATAAGTAATAGTTACATTCGTTTTGGGAATTGGTGCATATATATGTTCTTTTTAAAAATCATTGTGAACCACTACCTCCCCCTTCCTAACTATAAAAAAATGTGGTAACTAATCTGGAGATGATTATTTAAAATATTTCCTACAGCATAATCATTTTAAGAAACTATCATACTCTATTAGTAATTTTTATGCTATTGACAATTGATAATTGCAACTTTAAACTCCTGTGGCTTTAGAGTCTTGATTTTGTTCTTAGTGAATGTGTGATGTAAGAATTAGGATCGCCAGTTGAAGTAAAACATTTCACAACTAAAATATTCTATATTACCATATGAAAATTTATAGAGACTAATTAAGAATGTTTAATTCAAAAGTGTGAGTACTAAATTTAACAAGCACTACACTGCTGCATTTTTCTTAGACATACTGTGTGCTTTTACTATCATATAAACAAAAGTTATGGTCTCAACGCTAAGTCAAAAGGAGGAAGTTCAGAGTGTTTACCGGAAATAATAGTGGCTCCTGGATTTCCAGGAGGGATCGCCAGTGTGTGGCCACGTGGCCTCTCTCCATCCAGAGCTAATCGTAGCTAAGCAGACCAGGAATTGCTCTTAAGAGACCACCTATCGCAGGTGGTTTTGGATTAGAAGGACCCCTTGGAGCTTGGGGTCTTACCCACCCGGTTATTGAACAGGTAGAACTGAGACCGGGAACTGCGATAAAAAAACAAAACAAAACTGATTTTGCATTTCAAGTTCCTGAGTAACTCAGGAGCTCAGTAAGGTCCAGGCGGCATTCCACATTTGCCTAACAAAGTTCAATCTTGGGCCATTGTCCTACTTCACTTCTTATTTCCTTATCACCTAACCATCCTTCACAGGCCCTTTCCCAAGTGAGTGCTTTTCTTCAAATACCTTTGCGGTTGAAAAGAACAATATATCAATAGGAAAGTATGCTCAGAAGGTGGAACCCACTGGTGACTCACGCGGTCTGCGACGCACTAGCAGACCAGTGCACAAGGGCCAGGAATTCCTGTAACACACATCATGAAAAATAACTGATGGTTAGTTTATGCCTTTCCCCTTTCTATTACCATGTCAAGTATATATCTGATAAATATTAAGAAACAGGACTGAATTAAATGTGGTTCTTTTACTTTGTAATTACCTATTTTCAACCTAATGGTTCCCAAAACAGTGTCCAGGAAGATAGTTTTCCTTAATTTCCTGACTCGTCTTCAGTATTGGAAAAGCATCTTTAATTGTGCATATTCAGACGTTTGGAAATTGGTAACTGAATTCCATCCCAGACCCACCTTGACTACCCCAGCGGGAGAGCACCCTAGGGTCTACCCTTTACTACTTATCTCTCCGTGACAGGCGGCACCCGCGAAAGCCCCGCCTGTTGGCAGAGCCCCGCCCCGGAGGCCAGTTGGGAGGGGCGGGGCCTGCGATCGAGGGGCGGGGCCGGAGACGTCTGACGTCCTCGCGTCGTCTGACGTGGAGCGGCGCGGGAGCGGGTGGCCGAGCGGGTGAGGCGGGCGAGGCCGGGTCGCGGCGAGGGCGGTTCCGCGGGTGGCAGGGCCAGACCCAGGGTGGCGCGGGGTCGGAGGCGGCACACTGGGGGCGGGGGCCCGCGGCAGATCCCGCCCGCCTTCCCGGAGCTCACCCCACCAACCCGACGCCGTGCCCGTGCCGCCGACCTCGTTTCCTTCCAATGAAGGAAGTAAAATAAGCGTTTCTCTGTTTAGGTGCGAAGACCCAAAAATGACAATCCAGTGGGTGGCAGTTGCAACCTTTTTGTATGCCGAAATAGGACTCATTTTACTCTTCTGTATACCTTTCATTCCTCCTCAGAGGTAGGAAACCTTGCCATCGTTACCAGTAAATACTTGGTGAACTCCTGCAGACGTTAAGATAAAAAGTTGAGTGCTCACTGTGTAAAAAGGTGCTCTTTCAAACTCCGTGCTGCATAATTATATGTACAGATAAAACAATTCTTTTAGCATTTCTCTAAGGAAAAGAGCCCAGCCTTTATGTTGATTAACAGATACACTAAAACAGTGCTCATACTTGCACTTTTGACACCTGACCTGTCACATCAGATTTTACTTTTCTTTTATAGTCCTGAACTGAAACGGTGAGGTAAATAAATATAGGTGGATAGATTGTTTGCACAATAGCATGAGTACAAAAATGTTAAAATTGGAACAGTGAAATGGCAATTAGAAACTGAAACCAAAAAGTGATTCTTAATATTAGCCTCAGGTAAGCTAGGAATAGTTTTGTGAGTGGTATTTTCACATTTTATTTCACTCGTAATTAGTGAATATATGTTAAAAGGGCTGAATATGAAAAGTATCAAAAGCCCTGTCTTTCAAGTAGTACTACTAAGCATTTTAACCTAAGCCTTGACTTTTTTGTAACAAGTCTACTCACTAGTTTAATTATAGACCCAGGAGTTTGATAGTGTGAATGATGAAACAGGTTTGTAATTTTAAAAAAAGTTGCAAGAAATTTGTTTATGCTCATGGTATAAAAAAATTTCATAAGTGAGATCCTAGAGATAACCCACTTAATTTAAACTATGGCTTACCCATTCCTGGGACAGGGAAGAAAGAAAAGTTTTACCTTGGCCCAGAATCTGGTAGCCTTCTATAACTCTTGCTCCCCCACCTAGGTTTCAACTGACTTCTAATGTCATCTGTTGGCTAGTTATATGTACCATGGCCTCTTTCTTGCTTACTAAAGAAAAAAAAAAAAAATCACACTATGATAGGGAAGATTTCAGTTATTTCATCCAACCTGCTCTTTCTGTGGATCACATACTGAGATTGAGAAGAGGGCAGATTAGCTGGCTGAGGTCCCCTAACTAATCTGTGGCAGAGTCCCCAGAAATTTATGACTTTCAGTCCAGTGCTTTCTGCTCCCCACACTGACTGTCCTGTCAGATCTTTCCTTTGTGATTGTATTTATAATGAAAGAACCCCATATATACTGAAGAGAAAAATCTCATCTAACTTATCTAATTAGATCTAATTTATAAAGAAGATTTAAGAATTTGAAAGCACCTTTTGTCTTTTGATCATTTTCTCCATCAAACTGATTCATAAATTATAGATCAGCCTTTTTCTTTGTGTCCAATAAATTCTTTACCTATTTGATCAAATACCTATTAGATACATTGATATGTACACATGACGTAAATTCACTCATGTAGAAATAAAAGAAAGAAAATATGTTATATTCACAGTATGTCCCTGCAGTGTGTATTAACATCTTTAGCTTTTTAATGTGTATGACCATAGTCTTCAAACAAAAGACTTTAGTCTTAGTGTCTGTCTGTCTGTCTCTCTCTTTTTCCAGATAACCCAATGTTTTATTATAAGCAGTGCTCAGAAATCACTTTCTGGGGTAATATCCCAACCCTTGCTAATGCTCTTCAGTGCCTCTAGACCATTTATATTCCCATCTCATTTCTTCTGTGTTCAGATCTTTAGGTAGAAGGTAAATCACAGGAGTATATACATATATGAAAATTACATGGGTGTATACAGACATAAAAATTTGACAAGGTATACATGTAACATTTTTTGAGTGTGTGTGTGTGTTTGTGTGGTTAAAGTAGAGAAACTCTTTTACCTTGAGATACTAAAAATGTGCTATGTAAAAATAAATGCGCAGAGAGTTAGCTAAGCTACCTACACCAGAAATTTGCTAATTGCTAGACCAATAGACTCTGTCACTTCTAACTTTTAAGAATTCTTTTTTTTTTTAATTTTTTGGGTTTGTTTTTGAGACGGTTTCACTGTGTAATTCAGGCAGCACTTTTAACTTACTGTGTAGTGCAGGTTAGCCTCAAACTCTTGGTATCCTCTCGCCTCAGCCTCCCAAATGCTGGGTCCACAGGTGTTCATCACCATGCCCAGCACCATTTTTTAAGGTTTTTCTTATGCATATTTAAAAGTTATTTCTGGGGGCCGGAGAAATAGCTCAGCAGAATAAGCGCTTAGAGCCTGAGTTCAATCCCTGGTTCTGCCAAAAAAAAAAGTTATTTCCACCTTAGAATATTTAAGCCACCAGACAAAATATAATCAGTGTGAAGTTATTAAGCTTAGAAGGGTTCTCTGCTTCATAATACATGTTAAAATTTCTTCATTTCTTTTTACTTGCCATGCTTTTACTGAAATATTACTTAAGTGTTTTATTTTTTTTTAATTATTATTTTTTTATTTTTATTTATGAGAGAGAGAGAGAGAGAGAGAGAGAGAGAGAGAGAGAGAGAGAGAGGGGGGGGTGTGTGTGTGGCCAGCTCAGCCCACCAGGGGGCGGGGCTGGTTGGCATGTGGTGCTGGGGGATTGAACCGCGGTCCCTGATGCCTTGCCAAGCTTGTTCCAAGTAGGTGCTTTAGACCACTGAGCCATCTCTCCAGCCCCTTAAGTGTTTTAAAACCTGCTTTATTTTTATACTTAATATAATTGCTTTACAGATGGCAGAGGATTTTATCAATTAAAGTCTGGGGTAAAATTGCAACATTTTGGAACAAGGCTTTCCTAACAATCATAGTCCTACTGATTGTCCTATTTCTAGGTAAGTAATAAATTCTTTCTTTTGAATATTCATAACTGTAGTTCTTTTTTAATGAATTTGTATTTTCAATTAATAGATATTACTGCTGACATATAGGTGACTTTTTACTGTATACCAATAGTAGATACTGACATCTTCATACATAATTTATATTCCTCTGTATACTCAAGCAAAAATTTCAGGAAAGTGCCATGGTCCTTAACATCTTTTAGATTGCTTTAAGGTTTAGATTATTTTAAGGTAATTTCATCAATGTATAATCAGCTCTTCAGTTACCAGTTATTATTTCTCATCATTACTAGATAGCTCATTGTTACAGTGGTATTCTAGAGTCTTAGCTGTTAGGAAATGGAGGAATAGAATCTTTATACTCTAAAAAGGAAGTAAGTATTCTCCAAACCAAAAATCCTCTCAATCCAAAACACTTCTGGTCCCATACATTTTGGATAAGGAATGGATTTTCATCCTGTTTAAAATCATTGTATCATATTATTATATTAGAACTTTAAAGGTTCGTGCCAGAATGGCAATGTATGAATCTTAATAATCACCATGGTTTTTTGGAAGAAACATTGAATTCAAAGAGATTGATGTCTCTAACATCATCCAGCTACTTCTTTTTTTTTTTTTAATTTTTTTTTTAACATTTATTTAGTGTGGGGGGGGGGCCAGCTCAGCCCACCAGGGGGCGCGGCTGGCTGGCATGTGGTGCTGGGGGATCGAACCGTGGTCCCTGTGCTTTGCCAAGCTTGTTCCAAGTAGGTGCTTTAGACCACTGAGCCATCTCGCCAGCCCCCATCCAGCTACTTCTTGAAGCATTACTTCTTGACAGTTCGACCCTTTTTTTTTTCTTCTGTTTTTTTGAAACTGAATCTCACTATGCCACTCAGACTGGACTTAAATTCATTGTGTCACCTAGACTGGCCTCGAACTTACTGTGATCCTCCTGCCTCATTTTCCTAAGTGTGATTAAAGGCATTTGTGACCACACATAGCTCAGCAATTTACCTTTTTTTTTTTTTTTTTTTTTTTCTTCTTTTAATGTATTTGGTACAGGATCTACAGGGTCTACAGACTTGTAGTGATCTTCCTGTTTTCAGCTTCCTAAGTACTGGGATTACAGGCGCGAACCACCATGCCCAGTCTCAATTGCTGTCTCAGCGCACCCTGGGAGCGGGGCTGGCACAGCATGCAGGGGATCAAACCCTTGCCACTGTGCTCTGCCTGAGGTGGTGCTTTAGTCCCCTGAGCTATCTGGCCGGGCCTCAATTTGCCTTTTGACAAACATTACAGAATATGCTCTACTTCAGAATTCCCTCATAGTTCTGTTGTGAGTTAAGTTTGTCTGGAGCCAACCTGAACTATAACTTGACATTGTGTTGTGAGAAAAACAATCTATTTCATGTTCCATACTATGAGCCTCTGAAGTAGAACTAATCCTCTTTATAAAACCGAACATCTGTTGTGAAGAGGGTAAAAATAGTTAAAAACAGGTAATTGTATCACATTGTGAATGGGTTTGTGCCTCATTTCAAAATGTCAGTATTTGTAGTCTGTTAATATTAATGTAATGAATCTCCAGCTATATAATAAAGGATGGTAAACTAATAAAAAGAGAAAGAAAATTAGTCGCTACCGACTCCAACTATCTAGATTACCTTTGGAATAGCATTTTATCTCTCTGAGTTATTCATCTGTGACATAAAGAGAAAGATAGAGATAATTGCAGCATCTGTAGCTAGCTCTAAACAAGAATTGTAAAGTTCAAACTTAAAATTATCCTCAGAATTTAAACTGAAGGCTACCATTTATCTGTGTGGGAAAGAAGAATTGTGATTTGGGTTCTTTTGTGTACATAGACCAGAAACCAAGGTGCACTCACATGAACAAGGAGAAATTATAGTAAAATGTAAAGTTTCAGAGCAGCCCAAGGAAGGAACAAAGAAAGTCAACCATATTCCAGGGGGCTGGGGGAGGACTGGTTCTAGGAACTGAAGTATCTTTCTCTGATTCTTGCTTCTCTCTGTATCTCCTTTATTCTTCTATAGACTCTGATTCTCCATCTTTGAGACAGAAAATAGGCATACAGCTGCCAGGTATTATCACTTCAACATATACAGTACTAGGATTGATTAGCCATCTCTGAATCTCAATTTTAAGTTCAAAAAAACTGGAACAGTGAACACTAGATAACCACTTGTCATCTGGAGAGCTTTGGCCAGAGTGCCACAAAGCAGAATCTTGATGGCTGGCTGGACCCTGCATCTATAGGTAGAATGGGTGATTCTGTTCCATTAATATCATGGGTGGTTAAGGCAACCAGATAGAACTTATTTCTGAATTTCAGGGTCTTGCGCTGGGGAGATAGCTTTGCGACATAAGCACCTGCCTGGCAAGTGCAAGGTCTGGAGTTTGACGCCTGGCACCGCATGCCTTGCCAATTGTGGATACTGCTTGTAATTCCTGCACTAGGGTGACTGAGACAGGAGGGTGACTATGCGTCTGAATTGCGTAATGAGACCCTAGATCAGAAATAAATAAATAATAAAAAAATAAATTTCAGGGTCTTTATCTCAAAATAGGTTCATACACCTGCTCTCTTAAGGTGTTTTGAGGTTTTAATGAAGTAGCATATGTGGAATGCATAATGCAGAGTTCCTAGTCCCCAAAAGCAAAGTGATGTAAATAATGCATAATGAGGAGATTATTCAAGTCTAATTTATATTTTGCTGTAGAAGCTATTTCATCTTTCTTGTTGATTCTGTCTCTAATAAAGTAACTATTACAAAGTGCATCCATACCAACAAAGTGTGAACACATGTGTATTAGTGTATAAAGTAAGTCAGAAAGGAAGTAGGAAGCACAAGAATATGTACAAAGTGTGTTCAGAAATACAGTGAATGTTCAAACACACTTTATTACAGTAAAAGACATTAATCTCCCCCTCAGAATACTACACTCACTTCAAACACACTCATTCTATCATTCTTGCTGCTTTCTGAAACAGTTCTTATGGTCCCCTTTCATGAGTTCTGGAAGTCTCTTTTCATGAGTATCTTTAGTTGTGAAGTCATGGCTACCTCATTGTCCTGTATTGATTCAAAATGTTTACCCTTTATGGTCATTTTGACCCTAGAGATAAGCCTGAAGTCACACAGTGCCGGATCTGCTTTCAAAGGTGAATGAAAACACACCATAATGTTTTTCTGAGCCTCCCTTTCCAATGGATGACATTCAGTGGCATCACTGTATTTTTTGTCATGTCATGTCTCATAAAGAGACTTCCCCAAAAAAGACTGTTTCAGAAAGTGACAAGAAAGATGAGATGTGTATTCAGTTCAGTGAGAAATATTTCAGGGCAGTTAATGGCAGTATGTTTTGTACTATCAGATTTTTATTAGCTTTATACATTCACCAGATATTTTGATCACCCTTTGTAAGTGAAAGAGTGAATGTTAAGTATTAGCAGAAGTACATTCCAGGGATTAGGGAATTTTTGTAAATGTGACCCTTAAAAAAACTGTCCTCACAAGACTTATAGAAAATTGATTATATGGGGCCAGGGAGATGAGTCAGTGAAATAAGCCCTTCCCTGGCAAGCGCTAGGGCCTGAGTTCAATCCCCAGTTCCACAAAAAAAAAAAAAAAAAAAGACTAGAAAATTGATTACATGTGATACCCTTCGCTTATCATTGACTCCATTCCATTTTTCAGACATAGTTTTATTATATCCAGGTGATCCATTTTACATGTGGGTTTATATGACCATCTATTTTCAAACTTCACTAATATTGACTAGCATTTTTGTTTGATTGCTTTACAGTGATCAGCATGCTCTAACTATATTATTAAAGCAATTTGAGAAATGATAAAAAGAAAATTGCCTATTACATAGAAGAAACCAGCACTTTGGGGCTGGGGAGATAGCTTGGTGGTCTAAGCACCTACCTGGCAAGCATAAGGACCTGCGCTCGATCCACAGTACCACATGCCATGCTGGCCCTGCACTAAACAGCCACCAAAACCGGGCATGGTGGTGCATGCCTGTAATCCCAGCACTGGGGAGACAGGAGAATCCTCCTGAGACAGGAGGATCACTACAAGTCTGAGCTGCATAATGAGACCCTGTACCAAATAAATTTATTTATTTATTTTTAATATATTTAGTACAGGGTCTACAGGATCTCACTACACAGATCGGACTTGTAGTGATTCTCCTGTTTTCAGCCTCCCAGAATTACAGGTGTGCGCCACCATGAATAAAAGATTTTTTTTTTAATTTAAAAATAAAATAAAGAAACCAGCACTTTGGGAAGCTGAGGCAGAAGAATCAAAAAAGTTGAGCCCAACCTGGGTAACTTAACAAAACTCTTGTCTCAGAAAAGAATAAAGGACTGAGGGTGTTTCACAGTGCGTAAGCTCTAGATTCAATCTCCCATACCACAGGGAGGGGAAAAATAAAAAAAGAGAGGAAGCCAGACCTAAAATGCTAGCTACTGAGGAAGTGATAGCATGTGGATATTAAGATGAAGCCAAAAAAAAAAAGATTGAAGCCAGCCAAGCAACTTTTGGATCCTGTCTCAAAACTTAAAATGGGCTGGGGATATAGCTTGGTGGTAGAATATTTGCCTGTCATTGCCCCATACCATTTAAATATAAATGTATATATATATATATATATATATATATATATATATACAGATATATACATATATGTATATATTTTTTAAGCAACCTCAAAGAGACTATTTTATATATAACTGTGCAGATAAATTTATGAAAAATTGGAGTAATAGTGCAAAACATGATTCACCAAGTGAATCCCAAGAGATACATATAACTTATACAAACTAGTTTTGATAGAAGTATAAAGTTATGATAAAGACCACTACTTCAGAGAAACATAAAACTGGATTCTTTTGCAAGCAGTTTTACCACTACTTTGAAAAAACAGATAATACTAGTATTGCTTGAACTGGCCCAGAGGTTAGAAAAGAAAAC